GCTGTAACACGGTCTAGTGTGATAGCCAACGGATGGATCGCAGGTTTCGCTTCTGTCATTCCGGAACGATGTAAAAGGTCCGAAATATACTTCTGCTGAAAAACAGAAACAGTATTATTTTCAGTGTCTTGAATAAATTCCATTCCTAAACAATATCGGAGTGATCCCAAGTCTTTTATTCGGAATTCAGCATCAAGTTCCATCTTCAATTCGTTGAAGGTTTCAATTCTGTTTGTTGCAATACATGTTTGTTGTCTACATATACAGTAACGAGCAATATGCTTTCATTGCTTCTTTTTGAATATAGACACTTGTCTGCATTTATTTGCTTTAGTCCTATGGATTTCAGTTTGGTGTCAAGCTTCGCTAACCACTGTCTTCCAAACTGCTTCAGGCCATAAAGAGCCTGTTTTAATAGTAGTACTTTTCCTGTATTCTGTTGCAAAACGTCAGGTTGCTCCATATGGATTTCTTCGTCCAGTTCACCGTTTATATAAGCCATTTCAACATCTAGCTGAAATAATGATAAATCCCATTCAACAGCAAGCGCCATAACTAATCTTATTGTGCCCATTCTAGCAACTGGTGCATATGTATCAGTGAAGTCTATGCCAGGTTGTTGAGCAAAAGCTTTCGCTACTAGTCGTGCTTTTCGACGCTCGGTGGTTCCATCTGCATTGTACTTGGTTCTTAGAACCAATGACATTTTTGTTATCTGGCCTTTCAACTTCTATCCATGCACCCGCATTCTTAAGCGCATTGTACTCTTTTTTCATTGCACTTTTCCAATCATTTGAGTTTGGACAATTTAACGCTTCTTTTACAGTTGGAGTTTCTTCACGGACCATATTCGCTTAATGTTGGATGGGTACTAAATTGTACTGTTTCCTTGGTGCACCTCGTCTACCTGTACGAACGATTCTCGGTCTACCCGGTTCTCTCTTGAAACCATCTGCTTGCTGGTGTTCGTTCGGGTTACGACTCGCATCTTCGTTTAAATGATCAATGTCACCGTCTCTCGAATCATCACTGACATCATTACAATTATAGTCGATTACGACTTCTGTTTCATTTTCTAATGACTTATTGTCATTATTTGTGAATGTCACCTCCAAAGTATTTTCATCAGCCTCTTTTTGCAAGGCTTTTTCGATGAATTTTACATCTCTACTTTTGACTATTTTCCGTAATTCAGGATTCCAGAGTCTGTACGCTTTAGAGTCTTCTGCGTAACCAAGGAATATACAGGCTTGCGATTTTGACGATAACTTATTACAGTTAGGTGCTTTATCCAATACATATGCTTTGCATCCAAAAACCTTCATATGTGACACATTCAGCTTCGTTTTGAACCAGGATTCATATGGTGTGACATCTTTCAGAGCCTTAGTGGGTGATCTATTTCTTATATACATGGCAGTGTTTATCGTTTGTGCCCAAAATCGCTTTGGTAAGTTGGCTTCGATCAGCATGCACCTAGTCATCTCAACAAGCGTCCTGTTTAACCGCTCCGCGACGCCATTTTGTTGCGGTGTGAGTCCGTTATCTGTCCTTAAAATCTTAATTTTTCTCCCCGCTTCATTTTCAACGGAAGCTTTATATTGTCTAAAAGCATCTTTTACTTGATCCTTTGACTTTAAGAGAAATATCTTCGTCAACCTCGTCTTGTCATCTATAAAGCTGGCAAAGTACTTGGCTCCGCCAATAGATTCAGTGCGCATAGGCCCATAAACATCTGAGTGTATTAGCTCAAGTGGTTGTTTGCTTCTATTGGTTGACAAAGCAAACGGAGTTGCAGTTTGTTTGCCTTTTAAACAGGTTTCACAAATTGGCAACTTACTATTTAGATTTATTGTTAGACTTCAAATCAGTCACGTACAGTGTATTCTCACATCTTATATGCTTGACATCATTTCCATTTGCTAGCGTGAGATGTACAATTCCAGTACCTTTGACCTCTGCACTCATATTGACGGCTAGTCCTACTTCTTAATCTCTAACAGACTTTATTTCTGAAAATAATGACTTGTCATTACACATATGAAACGTGGCTCCACTGTCGATACACCACACATTTTTGTTTATAGCCACAGCTCCTAAGTCCGAAAGTACAAAAGCTTCTTGGTGATCACCATCAGTCATAAGGGGTGTGGTGCTGTCTTCACAATAATGAGCTTGGTATTGCCTATTAGATTTTCTCTTCCAGTAATCATTAGCTTTATGACCGAATTTCTTGCAATATCTACATTTATACGGCTTATATTTATCTTCAGTGCTCTCATTATTTTGGGGCTTAACTGTCTTTCCTTCTGTGTTGTGTTTCTTATTTATATTCCACGACTTGCTTGAACTTCCATGTTTCACATATAACACGCTATGGGTATCTTCTTCATCCAGTCTCTTTCTGGCTTTAGCTTCTTCTAGAATCTTAACCTTTAATGACTGTGGATCAGGTAATGTGTCTTTAGACTCTATAGCACATCTAAAACCTCCATAACTTCTAGATATACTGTACAAAATTATGATGGTTAGTAAATCATTGGCAATTGCTATATCCATTTGTTGCAATTTATCTACTATTTCAAATAGTTAACTTAAGTGATCTGCTATACTACCATCGTCAGTAAGCCTTGTAAAAAGTAGTTTCTTCAACAGTCTCGCTCTCTTTGCCGGTCCTTTCGAGGCATATATTCTCTCCAGCGCATTCCAAGCATCCATTGATGTTTCGAGGTTTTTGACATGGCATATTTCTGACGCATTCAACGAAAGAACAATATCTGCTTTTGCCTTCTTATCGAAACTCTTCCAAGTAGCAATTTGCTCCGCATTGTTTCCCGTATCAGTAGGTTTTGGTTTCGATCTATCCACATAACACCAAAGATCGTTTTTGGTGAGAATTGCCTCCATTTGCTCTTTTCACGTGTCATAATTGTCTTTCATTAATTTGTCAATTTGAATGTGATGAGTCATGATTAGTATTCTATCAATCGATCAAGCACGAACACGCGGCACGTTATAGGTTACGCTAACAAGAATTCACACTTTACTCTCGTTTTTATACCTCTGGGCCCATAACCTGTTAAAAATCAAGGTTTGCAGAGTAGTGGACTTGATTACACGTAAACACACGATGTTAAAATGAAAACTAAACACTGGATGTTTCGAGATTTAGAACGATACTTTATTTCATACAACACACTTGTTCAGCACATGTCACCGGAAGTCACCAACAGAGTTCCAGAAGAGTCGTGATCTCCGTTCGATAATATATCTGTCACTAGGTGACGCTAAAGACAGTACGCGGTGAATATGAATACATTCTAACAAGTTCGTTAGTGAAAATATGTTTAGTATCCTTGGAAGAAAACCGACCTTCGGTTCCTTATAATATTTACAACATTCCCCACGTGCCCGCTTAGTAAACCTCTCATAGTGATGTCAGGAATGGCTATCTATCAGAGAACAACGAAAAGTAAAAGGTTTCTCTATATTACTATAATAT